GCAAATTGTATTATTAGAAAGAGGTAGAGAACTGGCAGTGTCTGAGAAAACACGTTGGTCCATGTGTTGTATTTTAGACATATCAAATAACAGTCAGGATTGTTATGTTCTTGCATTGTATTGACTCTGAAATTCTCTTAGAATAATTACTTTAAGTGACTCAAATTCTGCAGGTTTTGGTTGGGTCTTTTTTTTTTTTTATCCTGAGTGTTGGCTTATAGTCAATGGCTTTCTAAAAAGGTAAGTTCAACTCTGAAACTCATTATTTAAGAATCTGGAGAAAATATGATGTTATTTTGAAGTGATCTAGATCTATGAGTAAGTGAACTTCATTGAGAGGTGGAAGGTAGAAGCTACAATGTCATAAAGAAAATCCTTCTCCCGATGATGTCGCTTCAGCAGAACTTTGTCTTTCAAAAGCTGCCTTTTTGGGGGTAACTGGATTTAATTTTATAGTTTTCATGCTGTTTTCTGATGCCCACCAGAAGGCAAGTCATTAAAGTTTAATCATGGCCTGATAGTGAGAGTGATGAAGACCTGCAGTTTCCATGGACCTATTTTCATCAAAGGGAGCAATAGCTCATTGCTGTTCTAGAAAGTATTCTCAGAGTGTCCAAAATCAGGTTATCAGACCTGAGGTACCAAAGTCGTAAAGATAATCTTGGAAGTATGGACTTGAAATTTATTCAGCACACTTTCTTAGAGACTTGTCTGTACAATTTTGTGTTTGTGTTTGCTTGCATGTAGCAGGAATATATTTGAAGCTTCTAAAATTAAGGATTAAACAAACATATTAAAGACACCCTTAACTTTTGACTTGCCTTGGCTCTCACTTCAGATTTCAATGCCAGGGCAAGAGTCTGCCTTTCAGATCTCATGGGATGTCGTTAAGCATGCCATTTGGGCTTGTATGGCAGCAGGCAGAGTCAGACGCATTCAAGAGCATGCGGGCAAAAGAAGGTAGGGATATGAACCCTGCTGTGCATAGTCATTGTTTTGAGTCTGTGTACACAAAGCCATAGATCCTTTAGGGATTAACGCTGTCTAAGGCCATTTTTCTATTACATATCCCAGGATGTGACAGTGTCTACATGCAGAATGGTATCTGTGAGCACTGAAGATTCTGTATTTCCCTAAAATACGAACAGCCTCCGAATAAATGAAGTGAATCAGAAAGAAAAGTATCATCCGAATTTAAAAGAAAGCATCATTTGTATTTAAACTACAAAGACTTATCTATCCTTGATTAAGTCTCTCTGACAGTTCCCATCTTTTTCTTTAGACATTCAGTGTAGATACAGTAAAGACATGTTGCCACACTGAAGGCCTAAAACAAAACTGGGTCCAAACTGGGAGGAAAACAGACAGATTTTACTTCCTTCCCTGAGGACCCCAGAAAATATTAGAAATAGTGTCAATCTTCCACCTCCGTATCCTCATGCCTGGTGAACAATAACCTGCAGTGTTACTTACTGGGTGAGGTTTCCTTTTTTGTCAAAAATGTCTGACATGGGATGTAAAATACCAAACCAATATAGAAGTATGATACCCACGTCTTAAACATTCTGTAGGGTCACTACTCATCAAGAAGAGATATTTCCTACACAATCTGCCTCCAGTAGTTGCTCTACTCTGCTGGCATCTGGCATCTTGCCAAAAGAGAGTAAATCTTACTAATTTTCTTGCCTGAAGAAAGCAGGATGGCATTGCCCAAGGCTGCAGGTGGTGGTTTAATCTATTCTTTGCTGCCCTGCGAAAAAAGATTTTGGCCAAGAATTACTTGTCCTTCAGGCTAGTGGGAAAACATGCAGTTCAGTTATCTTAATTAGCATACATATCTGTCCTTAAAATTAGATGTATGTCTACAAAAAAGAAAAAAATATCAACTAACTTCTGTAATTTGTAGATAGCGAGAGAATCATTTGCATTTTGCTGCTCCCAGTTTACAATTTAATGTCACTGTGGTCTAATATTCCTTTTTAAATTCATACAGCTTCTACAAGTGACCCTGCATTCAGTATAAACTGAACAAGTTAATTATTTTTACCTCTTACAGTTTATATCAAATGATCTCTAAGCACTTCAGGAAGAGCAGATGCCTGGTATTTTTTGTCTTAAGTCTTTTGCAGATCCATAAGTATGCACAAAATATATTTACATTTGTGTATGAAGAACTAGTTTTTAGTATGTGAACTATATAATTTTGATTCCAAATGCTGTGCTTACCACATTTTACTCTCCCTCCCCCCCAATTTTTTAATAAAGCATTCCCCAAAGCTTTCTGCTGAACTTCTAGTAGAAATGTTCATAGTGTTGGAATGCTTTTCCTCCTCCTGCTCTACAGTTCTTATTCAGATTTAGTGATGACCACATCCTCAGTGATGTTGGAAGAAAGATAAGACAAAGAGAGACTGCAAAATCATTTGCTTAATTTTAAAAAGAGTCTGTAGAAAGACCATAAAGATGTGAAACCAAATGTATCACATTCTATATTTTACCACCTTGAAATTTTACTATTTGAAGTTACTTTTATGGCAGTGCAATTTCCTTACAGCTTTCAAAATCATCCATTTTTTCTGAGAGACAGGCAGTTCAGCTGTTATTTTTACGGAAGTCCTTAAATATATCAATTTTCTTATAAGACATGAGAAACCTATTACTCTGCTCATCTTACCTATGAATTAAGTTATTGATAGGCCTGCAAGCTCATAGAATATTAAGAGTATAAATACAAACAGACAATATCTCTTCCTGATTTGTTCTAAGTTTGAAGTCTTTCTTCAAGAACACATAGTAATTTGCAAAAGCTGCTTGGGATCTTCCTTTTGGCCCATTGCTGTGCTTCTGTTCCAAATAGATCTAGCATTAAACTAATCTCTTTGACTCTCAGTAATACATGGATCGTAACCTCCAAAGAGTTTCCTTTATATTATGCCCCTTACCAAGCTCTGGCATCTTAATGCTTCTGACTTTACTCAGCAGTGAAAGTTAATTCAGTCTTTGTTTTAGCTGCATCCATTCTGTTGATCTTTGAAGATTTTGAAAAGCCTATTTTAAATCAGAACTTTGATTGAAAGAACCTGAGGGTAAATATGCAGTGAATATTACGGATGATTAATATTTAGGAGACGAGTGATCTTCTGAGGACAAAGTTAAGTGAGTACAGGCTGTTTTTCTGTATGCCAGCTGCCGAAGAACAGTCTTGCAGTCTCCTTATTCAGGAGCTCCTTACTAAGCTCATGTACAAAGAAAATGAGCCTTTGAGTCACTTGCAATGATTGTTTTTAAGAGAAGTTTCAATTTGTAGTGCATTTCATCCTAATTCAAAGCAATGATCGGCACTTTACAGTCGCAGAAGAGAAAGATTTTTTCACAAGTGTTGCATAAAGCACCAAAAATATTACCATAGGATAGTAATATCCAGTAGCAGCAATAAAACTGGTACTGAAATACTCTCCCTTCGCTTCTTTTCTTCTTTTTAATCCCTACAACCAATCAGAGAGCTGACATGACTCTAGATACCATGCCATACAAAAAAAGACCACAGTATAGTTGCAATCATGTTAAAAATTGGTCCCTCCAGCTCTTCATTCAGCAGTATTGAAAGCTACAGGTGTAGTCATAAAGAAAAGCATTAGGCTTGACTGCATTCATGTAGAATGACTAGTCACGGGAGTCACAGGATGTTTTATGATATATCAGATTGGATGACTGGTCGAAAGAAGAAAGTAGTATAGGATGAAAATCCTTTCAGAAGTTTGGTATGCATGAGTGTGTATGTCTTTTTTCCCACAGAAAAATATTGTTGACATAAAAGCAGAAAGAACATCAAAATGGTTGTGACAAGTAAGAATAAATTTTTTGTTTGCTTAGTGATTTTTTCTCCTGAGGTACCTTCATAGTTTTCTTTGACTTGAATTCCTGCTATTCACTCCCCTCTGTATAGCAACATTCAGTCTCTGGGTACTGGTGTTAGTGCCTCTTACGCTGTGCCCCAAGTGGAGCAAGTAGGAGAAACCAGGGGGCTCAGTGTGAGCTCTGCCTGTGGAAATTGTGTCTGAATTCAGGGAGGGGGTAGATAGTCCTGGTAGACTCTAAGTTTAGCACTTTAAAAAATGGTTTTGGAAATATAGCAAGCCAAATTTGTTCCTTTCTTTTAACAAGTAGTACTTCCACATAACTATTTGTAGATCAGTGACTTGCTCTAGATTTGCAGCAAAAAATGTAAAGCTTAGGTTTACTAGTTACTCTGTGCTTTCTTAAGATGAAATTTGTCTAAGGGGTCATAAGTGAAGACTGCCTTTCTGGTGGGTCACCCTGTTGCCTCTCAATCTTGAAGTACTTGTACTTCTGTCCATATAGCCACAAGAAATAAAATTTTCTTTATGTAAACATAGTGCAAATGATGAATTGTGATGTCTTCTGAATAGTTTTAATCCTTTTTTGAGGTGACCTGTTGTGATACAGATTCAATCAAGTTCTGTAAGTTAAATGGCATTTGTTTGAAGACAACAAAATTTCTGCGTGAAGGATTTTTTTTTTAATCCCACATGAAAAAATGAATCAATGTTTTAGTGTGTCCTACAGGGTGGTAGCATTGCTACTGTGATGACTTGCTCTTGAATGAAATTTAAGATCTGTCTGTATGTCTATTTCCTTAAAGAAAAAGCATGGGCTAAATATTTATTACCAGGCCTGAAAAAAATGAATATCTATGGTAAAGTTCTGTGTCTGATAATAGCTTCAGAAAGTCACTAAATCTCTCTCAGCCTGACTCTGACATTCAAGCAGGGAAAAAAGTGCAGCAAAGATTAATAGATAAATTAATTTAAAAAAAAATGTATTTATGCTGGAGATAGAATTTAGAAATGGTATTAAAAAATGAATATGCTGTGGAAAAATACAGTTTACTTAGTGAGAGAATGCAGCAGTGACTGATGGCTCGGCAGCATACACATAAGTTTGTGAACAGAGAAGGAGGAAGAATAATTTTCCCCTACCTTAGATATAAGAATAAAGGCTCATAAAGGGAATATTTACCGAATTTGCATTTCTGGCATCCATCTGAACAAGGTATGCAATCTTCAGAGTCAGAATCTTCCACCTCACCTGTGTTTTACAAATCAACAGTTTGGGGTTAATTCTAGGTAATGGAAGCCAAATACTTGGAAACACTCAGCAAGGTTCCTGGAAATAAGCTTTAGCCAAATCCAAACAGGAGGAAGATTCATGGCAATTTCTTTTCTCATTTGTTCTTGTGTAACCTCACTCAATTTGCAGAAGATACTCCTATTTTACATTAACGTGGTATTAGAAGATAATTGGAGCTGGAATTTAAGGATCTCAGGATCAGGTGTGATTGTATATTACAAAACAGGAACCAAGCTGCTTAACCAGATTTCTGAAACAAATTAAATAGAGTATTTGTTAACTCCTACTGAAGCATGCTTACCTTCTTTACAGCTATGTTTCTGACATACATTTTGAGTAAGGTAGTAGCCTCTGAAACATCTTTTGCAGTGGCTGGAGTTCAGGCATACCTCACAGTGGCTAAAGCAAGCCATGCAGATATGCTCTGAATGGTAGTGACCTGGAGGACAGCTCTCTCTGCACTCCCCATGATACAGGAAACGTTCAATCCCTCTTCTATCTGTGTGGCAAACAAATAGGAAAATTATGTCAGCAACAGAGGAAATTTGGGCATAAGAATCAGCTTTATGAAGCGCCAGTAAAGCAGCTGGTGAGAATTCATATTGTTCACTGCTAGATTTGTACAGATTTACACCAGATAAGCTAAAATACATAAAAGATTCAGGACTTCAAACCTTCCTCATTCCTGGAGATATATGACATATAAAGATGTCATGCTAGTGTATAATTACTTTTTACATCAGTCAGTCTAAAAAAATAAGGGTTAAGAGTTTCCCATTACTGAGTTCCCTTGCAGCAGACTTACCTTATTGCACACACCCATGCAGAATCGCCATTAAGAAAGCAAAGCAGTCCACTTCACCTTTGGAAAGGATCAGTCTGTTTCCATAGTAGATTAATCCGTAATGCTCATCCTAGTCACAACTAGACCCTGGGATTATTTAGATTTGAATATGAATAGCAAATGTGCTTCTGTTTGCTATCAGAGAATTAGCATTCCCTAGTGCATGGAGAATTGAGAGTTGTCTGCTACAAATCCTTCTGAATGAAACCTGCGAAAACACTTATGACTCCACATGGCTTGTGCTGGAAAGTTTTCTAATTGTTTACCCTATAGTATAAATGACATATATTATTGTGATAAGTGTGTTTGAATGCTTTACCTGAAGAGCAAGAATTTGTTTATGATAATTTATTTTTGAAATGGCTATAACAGAGAAGCAGCAATAATAGGGAATAATTGCTGCATCATAGCAGAAGTAGTCAGATTTTGTTTTAATTTTCATTTACAAATCCTTACAATCACCTTTTCTAGCTTCCTCAGGGTGTGACTCTGATCAATGTCTTCATTTCTTGATATACAGAAATACAGAAATTTATTTTGCTTTCCAGTATACAGAGAGATCTGGGGAACAATTACGCCAACTTCTCCCTCATGCTGGACTTGAAGAACCATTTGAAACTTTTATCTACTGAGTCACATTTCCCAGAGTAAGAAAGTCAATCTCATCATCAAATTAATGCCACATATACTAGTGTTTTCTTGTAATCTAGACTCTTATTACTAAATAAAGCCTGGGGCATTAATGACCAGGACTGAAATGGAAGTAGCAGCTGAAAGGAAAAAGGCTGTGGATCCGTTGTGATTTCTCAGAAAAAGCTTACCAAAAATTTCTCTTTATTAAGTGAATTGAAAGTTAAATCTTAACTACTCCTTTCTAGTGGCAGTTCAGGCTAGCTACACATACTTGTATTTGTTATCTTCAAGTTCTTCATCCATCAGATGTTACAGAGCAAGAGGGAATAATTTTTAAAATGGAGGTTCAAGAGAAGAATTATTTTTTTAACAACCAGAAATTTAGCTGTATCACCCTCTCTTTCAACCTAGGCTCTATAAAAATGGGTCAAAAAGTATGAGTTACTATGTGTGTCAGTGGTAAGCTTCTCTTTGCATACCCCTTTTTTCCAGCTGAAAAACACAGCAGTGTGTGGTGGCTTGTTTCCTAGCCTTCCCAGACATTTTGGAAAGCACCCTGCTTGCTTGTGAGTTTGAGTATAGCACATACTATGTAGAGGCTGAGGGAGGCATGTGTGGAGCTTTCTTTTCCAGAGACAGGCTTTGTAGGTTTTCTGTCCTTTTTTTTTTCCTGTGCTACTCTTTCTGTTTCTGTTAACACAGCTCCTATTCAAAATACACCAAGGGAAATGCATAAAGATGAAAGGACAATGCAGAGTTGTGTTTTCTTGTACTTTTAAAAAGATGAATGGAGTTCCAAATCCCTTCAGGGTTAAAACAAGATTATGATGCAGATCAGTAGCAAAGGCACTACTTATTTTATTGGCTCTAACAACTGTGAGAGAATAGGGAAAAGGGAACTTGGAGGCCCAGGAAGGGAAAAAAGCTGCATGAGGAAATCTTTCTTACCTGTTCCACAAGTGGTGCATTTGTTAGGTTCACTTCCACTGCAGTCCAGGCAGGTATGATGGCACAAATGACATTGTCCTTTGAATTCAAACTTTCCTCTGGGGCATTGCATAATACAGCGACCATCATCAAAGACTCTTTTGAGGCAGAGAGCCATAATTACAAATTTAGCAACTACTTGTTCTTTAAGTTTAATGGAAACTAACAAGAAACCCAAGATATTTTCCCTTCACTTTATTCACAAGACACTTTGAGCTTTACTCTTTCATTTTCCTGATCTTATTTATAGTATTTATTAAGTAGAAAGTCAACCATATTTTGAACCTGGACCTTAGACTTCAGAGATTAGATTCTTCTGAGAAAAAATCACCTTTTGATAGTATACCTAGATGTCCTTCTACCACAATCCCTGCAGTTGTCACTTACGTCTGTTAGAAGGAAAAGAAGACTTAGTCTTTCTCTGTGAAGGAATGATCTGTCTGTTGAAGTTTTCTATTAGTTTTACTTTAAAGGTTTCCTGTGAACAGTGCTATGGCTTCAGTAAAATGACTTTGTACATAAAGTAAAACATTTATCTGAATCTTGGCCTTTAGGATCTGTATTTTTAGACTTGCATATCTGCAAACACTTAGGAGTTTTGCTGCTAAATGTTCTCCTTTTACTAGGTAATGAAATATCTGCTACAGAATCCTTTTATCTGATAAAAATTTCTGGTCCATTTTTCACTGCTACTTGATGTCTGTGGGTTTTAATCTGTTTGGGAGAAAATTAGAAAAGTATCACTACAGATATGACTATTAAAAGAATATAAAATGTTGCCTAGAATTTGACAATGTTTTCAAAATTAAGAAAATAAGAGAGGAGGGACTGTAATCTTCCATGTTTAACTATTTTGACCAGTTTAGTATCTGAGGACTTGGGATTCAATTTTTAGAGAAGCTGAGCACCATTCAGGACCTTAGTACAGATTCTGAGACTATCAGCTTGTTTGTACACTAAGGGAACAGTAGGCTTTCTATAATATTAAGATAGTGTGTGCTTTCTTGGAGATAGACAATGGCATTAGAAAATACCTGCAATGTGCCTTCATAAATTTGAATTAATATGGTCATCATCAGATTTATTCTAAAAGAAGAAGACAGAAATATCTGCAAAGTTTAAAATCAATTTTGTCAAATAGCCTTTGAAACTATTTAAAATTTACCGTGATTGGAAAAGTCTAGCCTTATGTGAAGTGTGAAGATGGAAGAATATGGTACCATGTAAACATCCTTCCTGAAGTACATGTAACAAAGAAAACTTAGGAATTGATTAAAAAGAATTGTGAGGCTCAAGGCAGGCTGCTGGAAGTTATCAGGGAGAAGCTTTTAGATGTATACAAAGTACTCAGCAAAGATGTATCTCTGCTCTGGGATCTGACAGTAAGATAGTCCTATGCAGTTTGGTTTCTGTGAAAATGGGACAATGTGACCAAAGTACTGAAGGCAGCAGAGCTATACTTATATGACATGCAAATATTACTGTGTTCTACTACATGTCCCAGCTGTAATGGTAGCCATCCTTGCAAACAGCTCAGTAGATTTTTTCTTGTTTTTTTTGTTATATAGCCCCTAATGGAAGACACTGGGAGGTCAGATCTTGTCACTAACCTTTGCAGCATAAACATACAGTAAGCATATGGATGAGGAATTCTGTGAAAATTTGTTTGGCTGTACAAAATACTACAATTCGATACTTTTTAAAACACAGGTAACTGCATTTTGCATTGCCAAAGAAGATGGTTTGACAGTGATTTTGAAGTAAGGTGACATCTACTGCTGAATTTTCACAAAGAACAGGGATTGTTCAGTGTTTTCATTTTCACTTTAATTTCAGTAATTCCTCTCCCCATGTCTTTTCATCCTTTTCAAAGAGGAAAGGTGCTCACCTGTAGGAAAGCAGCACTGCTGATTTTTATTCTGTATTATCTAGTAGATGCTCTGCCTAAAACAGACACCACTTGAAGCTCTCAAGAGCAACAGGATTTAGGATTCTGCTGCAATTAGACAGGTCTATTTCAAGTACATAATGAATCATGTCCATTGAAAGGATTTACTCTTTAGCCTCTGGATGAGATTTTTATTTATTATTATTTTTTTTACTACTGGCCATGCTAATATGACTTTTTCTAATAGCTTTCATAATGTGCACAGGAGCACAGAGAGCTTTTAGAAACCTTAGATACCAAAATTGAAAACTGTTAGAGGATTTGTTATGGGAGAGACAGCAGCCTTCCAAATGGCAGAGACCTCATTTCTGCAAACACCTAGGTGGTTTTGCCTAATGGTGTTGTTCTCTACCTTCTTTGTTTTGCATATATCTCCATGTAAAGCTCACAAAATAGATTGCAAGGAAATACAATCTGATTTAAATGCAATCGTGAATCAGATAAATCCAGTCTCTGCAGCCCAAAATTCTGCCCAGAGTTCCTGTGCTAATGCCACTTTTGACACAACACAATTTAATAATGTTTCCTTAGTGATTAATTTTTTTGGACTCTATTGGTCCCAGTGTGTCTTTCATTGACATAGTCATACCATAGATATCTGCAGGGTAAATTGCAGGATTGAGTGAGGATTTTTTTTTTCTATGCCTTACAGGGTCTGATTTTGATTTTATACCAGTGTAAATATCAGCTGGCTACAATGCAGTCTTTTGCAGTGCAAGAGAACCAGAGCTGTCAGTGTAAGAATAAAGATGATTGTTAGGACATGAGTTTAAAACCAGCAGATTCCTGGATTAGGTGTGAAATGACCTAAACATAAGCCTCTGCTCTGCAGAGTCCTACAGAAAAACTTCCTTCTATTTCTGTTCACTTTTTATGGCAGGTTAGAAAAATCAGCCTAACTTAAACCACGTTCCTTAGGGAGCAATGTTTAGGTGAATATCTAGAAGATATTCATAGCACCTAAAGATGATTGCTAGCCTCAGTGTCCACATTCATGCCTTGTGCCAAACTCCATAGCTGTGTACAACTACAGATGCCCTAGACTTTAACTGTTAAATATGTCACTGTCGTGATTCTAGCAATCATGATTTTGAGAGGATGACAATGAAAGGAAGACTATTTTATGTATTAAAAGAAATCTTTCTGCATCTGTGGGAATCATCTGCATAAATGTCAGCTGCGTATGTAGCGAACTGTCTTGTTTGCATAACACTTGTTTTCTCACTTGCACTGGTTTTGTTTGCCCTAATCAATGCTTGCTTCTTGAGTTGCCTCTACAAGCTAGTGCTAAAGACCATACAGCCATTTCTTCAGATGATGATGCCAGGTCTTTGTCCTGCACTGTGCTGGGAGACAATTACCTTGTAAGTGGGCAGCTGATGCAGTTGTCTGGCTCAGGTCCAATGCACTTCTGACAGGATGCTTCACACAACTGACATTTTTGGGAATCATCAAGATATTCCCCTGGCAGAAAAAAAAATTGTTTATTTCAGATCAACATCTCACATTAAAAAAAAAAAGGAAAAATCCAGATTGGAAAATATAATGAGTATAAGGAATTAGATCTGTTTGAATTACTGAAATGAGCACATTTCCCTGTGGTATCATGAAAACAAGTACTAGGTCTTTTGGGGAACCAGCATACTCAGAATTAGTAGTTTCTAGTCCTTATTTACTTCCTTATTTATTTAGTTATTTCTATTTTCCATGTGAATCTGACAGAGTCATTCTTCTTGCTCAGGTTTATGCTATTTCTTTTGGATCGGTTGAAGTAATGGGAGACTTTAAGTTTCATGGAATCATAGAATCATAGAAAGGGTTGGAAAGGACCTTAAGATCATCTAGTTGCAACCCCCCCCGCCATGGGCAGGGACATCTTGCACTAAACCGTGTCGCCCAAAGTTCTGTCCAACCTGGCCTTGAACACCGCCAGGGTTGGAGCATTCACAGCTTCCTTGGGCAACCCATTTCAATGCCTTACCACACCCACTGTAAAGAAAAGTTTGAAGCCATTACTCCTTGTCGTACCA